AATCACAGAGATCCACCTGCCTCTGGCTCCCAAGTGCTAGGATTAAAGGCTTGCACCACCACACCTGGCTGTTTGTTTTTTAGACAAGCTCTCTCATAGCCCAAGCTAGCCTCAAACTCACTATGTAGCTCAAGCTGGCCTCAAACTCACTATGTAGTCCAAGCTGGCCTTGAACCCCTAAGCTTCCTGCCTCTACTTCTCAAGTGCTAGCCCAGCAGGAAGAAAGATTTATTTGGGCACATGGTTTCCAAGGTTTCAGAGAGGCTGTTTCTGTTGTTTCTGGGCCTATAATGAGGAAAAATATCACAGTAGAACATATGGCAGAGAAAAGCTGTTTACCTCACGGCAACCGAGAAGCAGAAACAGAAAGCTAGGAAGAGTCTGGGGACAAGGTTTATCTGTAAAGGGCATACCCCCAATGACTTCTTCCAACTAGACCCAACCTACTAGTATTCCACTGCTAACAACACCATCCTGTATTAACCCACCAAGGATTCGTCTATTGACCAAGTCAGAACCCTCAGGAGGTAATCACGTCCCCAAAGCCCACCTGCTGGCAGCCAAGTCTTTACCACAAGAACATGCAATGGACATTTCAGTTTCAAACTATCATAGATGGTTCAAGAGACTGTGTAGGACCCCCAGGCTGGGGTACCCAACGTCCACGGGAGGCCGCACCCCAATAACTCAGTCCTCAGACCAGGAGATGCAACAAGCAAGAGGATTTAATCGTTTGCGCAGATGGGCTCCTGCCTCACTTGGAGAGAGAGAGAGAACAGCAGCCCCAAGCTCAGCTTACAGGCGATTTTTTAAAGGCAGAAACCACAGTCCACAACCGGCAGCAGTGGGAGGGGGCCGGCAGCAACCAGCAATAGGGGGCTGGCGGCAACCGGCAGTAGTGGGAGGAGAAGTCTCTGGTGATGTCCGGAGCATGAAAAGGTCAGCTCTTTCTCAGTAGTTAGAATTATTTTACTTCTTACTTCCTTGTTCTGAATATTCTTCTTTAGTCTGGGGGATTTGGTTTAAATCTACTTTAACCTGGGGGAGCTTTAGTTTGATTCCATCAGGAGTTCCATACATATGGCTTTACCAAACAGAAGCAGTAGCATACCCAAGGTCCTGGATTCATCCTAGCACTGGAAAAAAAAAAAAAAAGTAAACAAGTTTTTAAGGTACAAACATAAGCATCTCAAAGAAGCCACAGAGACTCCTTTATAGAGGAAGTCCTTATCATTTAGTTGGTCAGTATCTGTCAATCATATACTTGCAGAATGTGCAGAATTTCAGATCTGCAAGGAAGAACTAGCTGCACTGAAACGAGTGAGAAACTGAGTAGCAAATACACTGGGAAAGAATGATGCTGCTTGGGTTCTAACTTTGTCCGTTTTTTTTAAATTGAAGCTTTTGTTCGGAAGGATGCCTTGCCACTAGGAACCTTTTCCAAGTACACCTGGCATATTACTAATATTCTGCAAGTTAAACAAATCTTAGACACCCCAGAGGTAAGAGTTTTTGCCCCAGGAACTGTGTGTGTGTGTGTGTGTGTGTGTGTTTGTGTACATGTGCATATCTGTACAAGTGCATTTGGAAGTTTGAGGTGTCTGTGTCTTCTTCAATTACTCCTTTTTTTTTTTTTCAGTTTTTTGTTTTTGAGACAGGGTCTCCCTGTAGCCCCAGCTGGCCTGGAACTCACTATAGACCAGGCTGACCTCTGCCTCCCAAGTGCTGGGATTAAAGGGTTGTGCCACCACACCTTGGGTTTTGAGACATGTTCTTTTTTATAAAAGAAATTATTATTTTTATTTTATGTGTTTGAGTGCATTGCCTTCATGTATGTAAGTACACCCATGTTGAACAGTGCCTGAGGAGGTCAGAAGAGGGTATGGGATCCTTTGGAACTGGAGTTATGGATGGTTGTTAGCTGCCATGTGGGTGCTGGGAACCAAGCCTGGGTACTCTGCAAGAGCAGCTAATGCTCTTAACCACTAAGCCATCTCTCCAGCCCCAATGGCCTTTTTAAAAAAATAAGTTATTTTATTATTTTTTAATTTTATGTATATGAGTATATTGCCTGCATGTATGTAACTGCACTCATGTTGTACAGTACCCAAGGTCAGAAGAGGGTGTCAGAGGCAGGAATTGGAGTTATAGACTGTTGTTAGCTGCAATGTAGGTATTTGAACCCAGATCCTCTGCAAGAACAGCTAGTGCTCTTAACCACTGAGCCATTTCTTCAGCCCCAAGACATGATCTTTTCATTGGCATGAAGCTCACCAATTCAGTCACACTGTCTGGCCTATGAGCCTCAGGGATCTTCCTAGCTCCACTTCCCCAGTACTAGAGTTGACAGTCATGTGTGGTCATGCGTAGCTTGTATATGGGTACTGGAGATCCAAACTCGTTGTCCTCTGCTTGTATAGGAAGAACTTTACTGGCAGAGCCATCTTCCCTGCCTTCACCTTGTTTTTTGAGTCAGGATCTCTCATTGGCCTGGAGATGGCTGGCTAACAACCATCCATAACTCCAGTTCCAAAGGATCCCACACCCTCTTCTGAGCTCCGCAGGCACTGTTCGACATGGGTGCACTTACATACATGAAGGCAATGCACTCAAGCACATAAAATAAAAATAAAATTTCTTTTTTAAAAAAGACCATGTCTCAAAACCTAAGGTGTGGTGGCACAACCCTTTAATCCCAGCACTTGGGAGGCAGAGGTCAACCTAGTGGGTTTGGTTGGCTGACCAACAAGCCCCAGGAATCTATCTGTCTCTGTTTATCCAGCACTGGGATTATAAGCATGCATACCTGGCTTTTTCAAGTGGGTTCTGGGGATGGAACTGGAACTCATGCTTGCATGGCAAATACTTTACTGACTGAGCCATCTCTCTAGCCCCAGGAGTTCCCTTTTTTCATACTAAGGGATTATTCAGAAGTAGTCTTTGTAGTTCTGACTCTGATCTTGGTGGATATTCTTGCTTTAGACAATGTCTTAAAAGTTTGGCACAGTGGGAGGTAGAGGCAGGAAGATCCAGACCAGCTAGGGCTACACAGTAGATCTTGTCTTTTTTTAAAAAAGTGTCTTAAAGGGCAGGGAAACAGCTCAACAGGTGAAGGTGCTTGCTACATAAACCTGATGACCTTGAGTTTGATCCCTAGCACTATATAAAATCAGGTGTGGTAACGTACACCTGGAAGCCTAGCACCTACAAGGTGGAAGCAGGAAAATCAAAGGTTCAAGGTTCATCTAGGTGTGATACATACTTCTTTAATCCCAGCACTTGGGAGGCAGAGGCGGGCAGATACCTGTTAGTTCAAGACCAGTCTGGTCTACATAGTGAGTCCAGGACAGCTGTAGCTACAGGGAGACCCTGTCTCAAAAAAAAAAAAAAAAAAAAAAAAAGTGGCACATAACCTGTAACCTCAACATTGTAGTATTTTGGTGAGGTGGAGACATAAGGATTGTTGGGGCTTGCTAACCTCCAGCCTAGCTCCAGATCCAGTGAGACTAAAGTTGGACACCCATGTCCTCCTCTGACCTCTGAATGATTTGTCTGCACTTACGATAAAAAGAATCACAAGAGACCTAGTGTATCTAAGATGCATGCACTTCCAGTTTTCCATTTCTCCTGTTCTTGTCTCTGTGTCCAGATGCCCTTGGAAATCACCCGTAGCTTTATCCAGAACCGGGATGGGACTTATGAGTTGTTTAAATGTCCCAAAGTGGAAGTAGAGAGCATAGCAGAAACCTACGGTCGCATGGAAAAGCAGCCTGTGCTGAGACCGTTGGAACTGAAGACCTTCCTCAAAGTTGGTATGTGAATTTCTATTGAGGGTCATCTGTGCTTAAGACACTGAGGCTCTGGATCTCATCCTTAGTCAAAGAAGGCACTTTGATTCGTTTTACAAGAACCTAGGTTGTCTCATTTGAGCTGGAGCTTTCCAAATACTTGTCAGAAGTGATGCATGTGCACCATAAAGAAATTAGAGTCTAGGGCTGGAGAGATGGCTCAGTGGTTAAGAACACTGTTCTTGCAGAGGCCCCAGGTTCAATTCCTAGCACCCACACGATGGCCAACAACCATCTGTAACTCCAGATCCAGGGAATCTGATGCCTTCTTCTGACCTTCATAGGCATTGCATGACATGGGTGCACTTACATACATGAAGGCAATACACTCATACACATAAAATAAAAATAATAAATAAAATATCTTTAGCCATGCATGGTGGCACACTCCATTAGTCCCAGCAATAGGCAGGCAGAGGCAGGCAGATCTTTGTGAGTTCGAGGCCAGTGTGGTCTACATAGTAAGTTCCACGCCAGCTGGAGCTACAGGGAAATCCTGTCTCAAAAAGACCAACAAAAAAAAAAGAAAGAAAGTAATTAGAGTTTAAGGGCTGGAGAGATGGCTCAGTCGCGCATACCACCAGGCCCAACTAAATATATTTTTTAACTTCATAATGATCAAGAAACCTGATAACCTCAGTCACCCCTGAATATGCATACCCTGATTACTACTGATTACCAAAGCCGAGGACACTGCTCCAGTCCAAGGGTCTTCTCACTTTAGGAATGCCCATTAGAGTAATTCCAGCACCTGGGAGGTTGAGATAGAAGTACTTCAAACTCACTCAAGGCTAGCCTGGGCTACAAGTAAGACCCTGTCTTATAAAACAAACAAAAAACACAAGAGCCAGACATGGTGGTGCATGCCTTTAATCCCAGCACTTGGGAGGTAGAGGCAGGCTGATCTCTGTGAGTCGAGGCCAGCCTGGTCTACATAGTGAGTTCCAGGCCAGCTGGGGCTACAAGGGAGACCCTGTCCCAAAAAGACAAAACAAAAACAAAAACAAAAAAACGAATACCCATTAGGTCAGTTGGGCTCATATCAACTAGTGTTAATTTTTTTCCTCTGCAGGTAACACTTCCCCAGATCAAAAGGAGCCAACACCATTTATCATCGAATGGATCCCAGATATCCTTCCTCAATCCAAGATTGGTGAGCTTCGGATCAAGTTTGAATATGGTCACCACCGGAACGGGCATGTGGCTGACTACCAAGATCCAAGGCCATCCTTGGACCAGCCCTTGGAACTGGCCCCTCTGACCACTATCACTTTTCCTTGAGGCAAAGCCAGTATTTTGCTGCTAAGTTTGCACATCCCCATCCCTGACCACTCTAAACCCTAGTTCAGCACTTAGAGGGCCCTCCTCCTGGTGAACTGCTCTTTGCTAAGTGCAGTTTCTTTGAACAATCATGTGGGTTCTGTGGAAGAAACTTCTTGTGAATAGCCATGTTGGTGCTGCTGTGTAGTCTTCATTGTAAAGTGGGCAGTATTTCTGACCAGAGTTTTAAAAGAAAAAACAGGGGGCTGGAGAGATGGCTCAGCGGTTAAGAACACTGATTGTTCTTGCAGAAGACCCGGTTTCGAATCCCAGCACCCACATGGCAGCTAACAACTGTCCGTAACCCAGTCCCAGGGGATCCGACAGCCTCTTCTGACCTCCTCTAGCATTGCACAACACAGGTGCACCTACTATATGCAGGCAATACACACATGCACATAAAATAAAAATATTGAAACAACAGAAGCCCAACTCACTTTCCTTATAGATTCACCTGCAGTTTTTTTTCTGTAATTCTCTAAGTGTGTAGCACTGGGCCCTATGCCCAGTGTTGGAAAGTTAATGATATACTGGGCAGGGCAAAGATCGTCCTGATTAGCTCCAGTCCTGCTCTTTATTCTGATCTCAAATAAATTAGAGCGTCACTAGTTTTTCGAAATGATATCATCTGCTGTGCTGATTTTACAAAAACCTTTAGTGGTGGGTGAAGCTGGAAAGATGACTCAGCACTTAAGAGCACTTATTACTCGGCCCTGGGTTCCATTCCCAGCACCTAAATCCTGGCTCACAACTGTGACTCCAGTTCCAGGGGTTCTGATGCCCTCTTCTGGCCTCCATAGGCAACTGCATGCATGTGCTGCACATATACTCAAGAACGCTCATGCACATACACATAAAAATAATCTTAAAAAATGCCTAAAAATAGCCAGGCGTGATGGCACATGCCTTTAATTCCAGCACTTAGGAGGTAGAGGCAGGTGGATCTCTGTGAGTTCCAGGTCAGCTGGGGCTACAGGGAGACCCTGTCTCAAAAGAAGACCAAAAAAAAAAAAAAAAAAAAAATTTACCCTTTGTGATAATTTACCTCAGTAAAACAGGAAAAGGAAGGTCACACTAGGAACTTGTGACATTTCAGACTAGCTTGAAATTGCATATTCATTTCACATTCTCCTCTTTATTCAAAAATGTGGACAGCTGGCAAGATTGAACTCCTGGTGGTTCACTGATTGGAATAGAGATGGTGAAGGGAGTGGAGATGCATTTCCTGTGCCTGCTGTGACTTCCATTTACACCTCACCAGGCACACTCACACAACATTCTCATCCAGTCTTAATTTTTCTTTGGAGTTTAGCGTGACCAAAGAGCCTCACACCATTAAAATATTTAGTTTTACTTCTGTGTGTGTCCTGCTTAAGGTATCATGTTGCTTTGATATGAATTTCTTACAATCCATTGTCCTTGGACAGCTGGAAGACAAAAATATCCATGAGGTAGACTTCATAGTTTTTTGAGTTCCAAGTAACAGGAACCGGCTCCAACCAGCTTAGGCAAAAACGTTCCTGGTCACTGTAACAAATGCTCATACTAAGAGTGGGCTGGATAAGACAGTTACCACCCTGACCCTCACCCGGGGGTGGATGTGGGTTGTGGCCTGACCTTAGGAGCCCTGGGTCCTGGGTCTGTCAGACCTGTCTCTATTCACACTCACCATGACTCTTGGTGATAGGGCTTCCGCAGTAGGACTTGCTAAACAGGCTCTCAAATTTTAATGGGATCTTAAGTTAAAATTTGTATTCTAGGGGCTGGAGAGATGGCTCAGCGGTTAAGAACATTGCTCTTGCAGAGGACTGGGGGTTCGATTCCCAGCACCCACATGGCGGCTAGGAACCGTCCTTAACTCCAGTTCCAGGGGAATCCGAAGCCCTCTTCTGACCTCCCCGTTGCACGGGTGCACCCACATACACGCAGGCAATACACTCATACACATAAAATAACAAAATATACTTTTTTAAAAATTCGTATTCTAACTGGTCCTGGTGACAGGCAAACCTCTAGGAGTTCAAACAGGGCTACATAATGAACCTTTTTTAAAAAAAGTATAAAGGTAGGAGAGACGGCTCAGCGTTAAGATCACTTGCTGATCTTGCAGAGGACTGGGTTCAGTTCCCAGCACCCACACGGTGGCTAATAAACATCCATAACTCCAGCTCCAGGGGATCAGACGCCTTCTGGCCTCCGCAAGCATTTGCAGGCTTAACACAATTTTTTTTTTTTTTTTTAGTTACTCTCTACCAAAACCTCGAGAACGGGGTGCAAGATTCTGCGACTCTACAGCAGGTACCCCGCGGGGCCAAAGACAGATTAGAACAAATCACTCCGCCCCAATTCTTCCTCCTCCTCTAGACGAGGAGGAAGTAGGGCGTGATGTGTCTATCTCGTCTCGCGTATCTGGACCTGGCCTTGGGAGTCAAACGATGCTTTTTGGGAGATCACGACTTTGCTAACGATATAAATGCTGTAAGAAAACGACGCTAATGCGCACTGTGTCTCTTTTTCTATGCTTCAAATCTCCCGTAAAGAATACAATTAGCTACTTCCAAGGGCTTGAAATCACGCTTCCGCCCACACTGGAGAGCAGAGAAACCCAGCGGCAGGCGGTCACGCGGCCCCATGAGATGACGTCACGTGTGCCTCCCGCCTCTCCGCAGTCCTCCCGCCAGGCGGCGCCACTGGTCGCTCTCGCGCCCTCGCGCTGGCGCTCTGGACACGTCACCACCTTCGCGTCTTTTCTGGAGAGCGCGAGATGGAGGGCGCTGCAGACAGTGACGTTACAGGGGTTCCCCGGGCGGCTTGCATGGGTGGGGCTGTGGACGTGGCGCCTGGGGTTGCTGGGAGAGGAGGAGGGGCTTAGTAAAAGGATGAAGAAGAGCTGGGTGTGGTGGCGTACGCCTTTAATCCCAGTATTTGGGAGGGCAAGGCGGGCGGATATTGGTGCGTTCGAGGCCAGCCTCGGCTCTATAGCGAGTTCCAGGATAGCTGGGGCTACAGGGAGATCCCCGTCTTAAAAAAAAAAAAAAAAAAAAAAAAAAAAAAAAAAAGCTCCAGTACTGCAAAAATCAAGCAGTTAATGGGTGAAGGGGGATACCCGTCTTAAAAAAAAAAAAAAAAAAAGAAAGAAAGAAAGAAGGAAGCTGGGTGTGGTGGTGCATGCCTGTAGTCCCCGCACTTGGGAGGCAGAGGCAGGCGGATCTCTGAGTTCAAGGCCAGCCTGAACTACATAGTGAGTTCCAGGACAGCTGAGGCTACAGGGAGACCCTGCTTCAAAAAGACAAAAATTAAATAAACTAAATAAGTAAATAAATAAATAGGAGAATGAAGAAGGGGAAAGAGGGAGAGGATGGATAAGGGAATGAGGGAAGTGGGGGGAAGGTGAGGTGGGCGGGGCTGAGTATGGAAAGGGGCATGGAGAGTGATGGGAGAGACAGGGAGAGTGAGGAGGGCCAAGAGTGTGGAAAGGGGAGGATGGAGAGGTGGGAAGGGGAAGGGAGAGTGGGAAGGAGGGAGGGGAGGAGAGTGGAATAGAGGGAAGGGGTTAAGAGTGGGAGGAGACTGAGGGTCTGAGGCCTCCTAGGTGGGCCTGTGAACTTGGGGCACATACAACCACATCCAGCCTTTATTGACCACCATCATCTCAGGATCAAGGCCTGGTTTCTAACAGGCTACCCCTTGTACTATTGGTCTTGAGCAGAGGGATGGGTATTGGACACCTGAGTCTGCTTTGCATCTCCACCTCACAGACTTCCTGGTCTTTTTCTCATTCTAAGCACAGTCATGCCCAAACCAAGGCGGGCTTTTTGCTCCTAGGCTTTGGGTATTATCAGAGCCCCCCCCCCCCTCCGGCAATGATGCTCCACAGCCCTCCCAGTAGCTTTGGAAGGAAAAATGATGAAGGGATCAAGCTGGGGCCTGTTCAGAACTCACAGAGGTTACCAGAGTTTACTTCACATCTGCCTAACTCCTGGTCACTGGGAGCACCCACACTCAGTACAAACAAGTGGCCTTGGGGCACCTTCCTGCCCTCCCCAGAATTGTGCACATATTGTGGCAGTGCCAAGGTCAGATTATTGGTGGGACAGCATCCCAACCCCTGGGGCTTGAGTGAGATTGGTGGGGCAGGGTCACAGGGGACAGGGCATGACCTGCAGGACAGGACCATCTGACAAGGTGCTGCTGGTCAGCTTTCCCCTAAGGTCCCCTCTGACTTCGAGGATGCTGAAGTTTGGAGTGGGTCCCCTCTTTTCGTGTGGTGGTTGAGCTATGCTCTTGGGAGATTTTTCTTCCACTGTAGCTTTCCCTCCATATTCTCTCCTGGCAGCTCCTGCCTTGTTATATCAAAACCGCTTTGGGTTTTAGATGATGGGCAGCATTTGATGTAGAATTCCCCAAAAGGCAAAGGGGAGCAGCCTTCACCTGTGTGCCTTGGGCAGGGATGGATTAATGGAAGGACTATCTGTGTCAGAGTCCTTTTTTAGCAGGATCTGGCAGGGGTCACCTGCACCTGCTGCTCCTGCAAACTCGCCCGTGAGTCGGACTACCCCTGCTTCATAGTTGTGTGCTTCCAACGGGAGAAGACTGAGGGCAGCCTGGGCAGAAAGTCTGCCCCGCCAACAACACCCTCCCCACACTCGTCTCCCAATTGTTTGTTTGCTTTTGGAGACAGGGTCTCACTATGTAGCCCAGGCTAGCCTTGAACGCTCTGTCCTGCCTCAGCTTTCCCAGAACTGGGATTACAGGTGTGCGCTGTGCCAGTCTCTCTCTCTCTCTCTCTCTCTCTCTCTCTCTCTCTCTCTCTGATGGGGTCTCCCAGTAGCCCCAACTGGCTTGGAACTTGCTATGCAGAATAAGCTGGCCTCAAACTCACAGATATTCACCTGCCTCTGCCTCCTAGGTGCTGGGATTAAAGGCATGCCCCACCACATCTGGAAACTTTTTTTTCTCTTAGTCTTGAACTTGGTGAGAATATGGGAGTAAGTCTCAGGAGAAGGCACATAGATGAAGGGGAAGGTGTTTTTCAGGGGTTGTTTAGAGCAGGGCTTTGTAAGCATGTGACCAGGGCAGGCAGCTTCTTTGTTTCATGTCCACAGACTCGTTGAGCCTGGTTGATAGATGGAGAGACCTTTCTTCTCTTTCCTTTGCCCCCAGAGCAATCATTCCTTTCATATCAGCTGTCATGCTACTAAGATCTATAGGTGCAGGTCCTCAGGAACTGACTGCTGAGAGGTTGGGTAGTGGGCAATATTTGAGACTAATCAGTTATGTTAGAAACCACTTTGCAGGCCTGATGAT